TATAATCCAGTTTAGAAATGCTTACTGGACAAAACGCTTAAAAAAATTCTCAATACTGAAAAAAACTCAATATATGTTTAAATGTGCTATAACGCCATTTGCTTGCGCGTTCATAAGCAATATGCATATTTTTCTTGTATGTGTGTGAAGGTCTAGCTGGTGGGTGTCCTCTGGGCCGAGGCGTAGTGTTTGTACTGGAGGAAGCGCCACGTGCAGACGCCACAGAGCTCCTATTGATTCGCCTTCATCAAGGCCAGGCTTCTGTGGGGGGTGCGCGTGTGTGAAGTCAACACATTCCCAGCATTCCTCCACTTCCCCTGCAGGAGAGATGTCACTGGCCCACAGAGCACCAATCACTCGCTTTGTTCGCTTGCCCATCTCCTCTCCCTCGGGACCCCCGGCTCTTTCTCTGGACCTCTTGCTGCCAAGTCGCTGCGCTATTTGCTGTTTCTGCAAATATCTTAACCGCTCAGTGTTTATTCGGTCCACTCCAAGGATGTCCTCGATGAATAGTTTCCCGTATTCTTATAATGCGTATGGTTGGATGTGCATTTCAACATTACTTGGATCAAAACCATTCATTGTGATTACAGCATTTAGAGTCTAGGAAACGGTGTGTGTTGTCTGCTCAAACCTCAACCTTAGTGAACTGGGTGAGCAACAGTAGCTATAGTCATGGGAGACACAATCTGACTGAGTACAATAATAACTTTGCTCACACTCTTAAAAATAAAGGTTCCAAAAGGGGGTTTTCGCAGTGATGCCAGGCATAGATGAACCATTTTTGGTTCCCTAAAGAACCTTCTAGTGAACAGTTCTTAAAAGAACCATTTTTTTCTAAGCGCGAAGAACATTTAAGAAATCCAAAGAACCTTTTTCCCTTTAAAGAACTTTTTGTATAATAGAAAGCATTTATCATTTTTCATTACATTATAGATGTTTTATCACCTTTATTTATTTATTTTTGAATAGTGTGACAGACATATTAGTCCCTGTTTCCTACCTTTCACCGCTCGAATGGGATTGTTCACCCAAAAATGAAAATTCTGTCATCATTTCCCCTTTGAACAAAAAAGGTGCACTTAATTGTATTGAATGTGCATTTGTAGTGTTCTTCAAATCTATATTACACCCTGCACTTTTAAATAATATAATATGAATGAAATAAAAGGCCACTTAAGCGTACTTAAAGAGAGTATGACTTTCATGACTAAGTTTCAAGTACACTTTAAAGTTTTACTTTAAAGTACATTTTAAATCGTTTTGTTTTAATAATCTTATTTCCTTAAAGAAGTACACTTATTTCGATGTGTTGACTAACATACAAAGCACGTGACCTTGCTAATTTTAACTCCAGTGTGTTATTCAATAGTAGACTTGCAAATCTAATAATTGCAAATATATATAAATACATGACATGCAAGTTTCCGAAATGACATTAAAGTTTTTTTTAGCTCACCATATAGGCCTGTCAGTACATTCGGGAGTACAATTTAGCCATATTTCAAAGACAATAGAAGTAATTATAAATTGCATTTATGTACTCCAAGTCCCCCTGTTATCAATAATTGTATCCCTTAAAACTCATCTTTGATCACCAAAATGACATATTTAAACGTTTTTTCTTTGAAAAAAAGTTTCTTTATTCCTTAAAATAGTTTGAATGTAACTCTACACCCTTGCCTCATTTAGTATATGCGGTTCTATGAATATGTAAATGAGCCCCGCCTCCACTCACTCGCACCAGCTCAGAGATCCACTCGTTGACGATCACACGTTGACCTGATTGGTTACAAGGTAGTTTGTGACGTCAGAAACACCACACGTGTTTTTGAGACTGTCTTTGGTTCACTGCAGTTTTAAGGAGAAAATACTCAGCAATGATGTTGACTTATGAATGTGCACATGGTTTGTCTTAAAGCATATTTAAAAACACCACATAGATTTTCACCACAGGGAGACTTTTAAGTACTCATTGGATCAAAAAAGAACTCTTAAGTTCAACTAATTGCATTTAATAAAAATTTAACCCATATTGAGCAACATGTGTAATCACCGCATGCCAGACGTGGGCCGGATCTGGGCCGATCACTATGTTAATGTCTGGGGCAGTATAATACATTTACATTTAACTGAAAATAGCATGAAATTTAGTGTTGCATTGTGTAGGCATTGCATATTGCATTGTGTTTCAAGGTTAAAGAAAATGTCCATAAACTAAATCTCCAGGCGGAAAATTACCACCATTTTCCATTTTTGCACAGATTTTTTTTCTTACCGTGGAGATAGTTTTCAACAGTAAAAAAACAAAAAAAAATCATAAATAATAATGTCTATCTCTAAAAAAAAAAAAAAGTGAGGGGAACAAACTCAAAACTTTCAACAACAAAAAAAATAGGGGGAGATAGTTGTAATAGTTGCTACACTTCTGGTTACAGTCAGATTAAGAAAACGGTTTTGGGGAAGGTCATTCTGCAAGACACAGCAACTTTATCACGGTGACAAGTGCATGGGTCCACTTCCCCAGTTTATATATAAGTCTACATAAACAACTAAACATTGGCAATGTGACCTTACATCAAGGTCAGTGTCTAGTTCCAGTGGGAATATCTTATCCAAAAACTCCAAACATACTTCACAATGCGGTCGGGATGCCCTTCGACAGAACGTCGCCAGCGAGACGCTCAAAGCGGCTGTGCAAATGGACAACCACACTTCTTTCCCTTTCTTTTCTCTTTCACCTCGTAGGAGCTTGGAGCGAGGGTTTGCTGCTCCGCACAGTTGTCATGGGAACACTGTTTGCATTTCCCAGTGAGCGATTCCAGAGCTGCTGCCGTTGGACTGGAATTCAGACTCTCCATTGAGCGCAGAACAGCCTGCAAAAGCAATTGTCTATTTGTGGCCACTCACTGAGAGACATTATGGGTGTGCTTCTGTCAAAAGTGAAACAAAGAGAGATGGAGAAAAACAAAACTCTTTGAGGACCGAAGTAGGCCTACTTTGAAACTACATACTTGGTCGGTGTAATACTGAATGTTGAAAAAGACGCTCTGAAAATAAAACCACAAGCATCTTGAATGGCCAGGTTCGTAGTCCACATAGCCCGTTCCTCCATTTTGTGTGGCATCACAGGGCTCTATTGAAGCCGTCTCGCTCTCTCAGACCGGACCAGCTCACACAAAGAGCCCTTTCAGTCTGACCTTGACTGAGCGCCTCCCTGAGCACCACAGCAACCCGTGGAGAGGAATCCGCTCCAGTCTGCTTCCAGTGAATGATAACTCTCCTGTAAGGCTCCAAAACCAGAAGTAATGCATTTCATATGGTGCTCAACCAATGGACCAACCACCAACACCAGCGTGAAAGCCTGATATTTCTCCGAGGGAGTCCAGACGGAAGTGAATCCGCACACAATGCTCAACGGATGAAGCTTGTTATGCATCGTGTTCTTGATTTAATAATAATGGGAGAATGGGAGGTTGTGGTTAGTTAATCACGAACATGAGGCCGGTGAATAACGACAGAGGCATTTTGTCAGAGAAGGAACTATTTATGAAATGTTTGATGGGAAAAAAAACATGACATGGGATGAAAAATGATCCGTTCCTCCGACTACTAATCTTAATAAGACGGATGATTGGTGTAAATTGTACCAATTATTTAAATCTTTAAACAAATTAAGGGACAATTTACCCAAATCCTCCAATTCAAACGTTTGAAGCAATTATGATCCCTCTTATTTTTTTTAATTATTAACATTTTGCATATTGTGCAAGGTTTTGTAAACGTATGACCTCAAATGTGCTTAGTTGTGAAACTATTACCTCAAATCATCAGCAGATTACCAAGCGTCACTCATTGCGCTTGCTCATAATTTGGGGTAGAAATTTGTACAAACACAGCATTTTTAAGGTATGAACAACAAAAAGTGCCATAACTCCAAAAGTTTACCATAGAAACCTTTGGTTTCGTGGAAAACATCATTAAACAGTATTAACCGGTGTTTAATATTATTAATTTGACTGCACTGACACTTTTGGATGAGAACTCAACTTAGCTGGATGATGACATCACTGTTTTCTGCAGAGCTGAAATGAACTTGACAGTTATTGAGCGGTTATTGACGTTATCAACACTGAACTGATTTCAATTAAATTATGACTGTTTACTAATGTCGTTTTAGAGCTGCTTTGCATCATTGAATCATTATGTTCCTGTTTATTCCTGTAAAGCCGCTTTTTGAAACAATCTGCATTGCATCAAGCGTTTGACTTTAATCAAAAACAGGAACAAAGTCCCTTTCAAATGAGAGAAAACATTTTTAGAGTCTGTATGACTTTCTTTTTCTGTGGAACAAAAGGAAGATCTTTTGAAAAGTGTCTTTTTTTTGGTCCAGAATATGTTGTTTGGAGTCCACTGACTTTCAAAATATATTTTTATGTTCCACAAAAGAAAGAAAGTCAGATGTTTTGGAAAGACATGTGGATCAGTAGATGACAGATTTTTTTTTTTTTTTTGTGAACTATCCCTTGAAGCGTATAATTTATTCAGCCCCGTTTGTACATACACATACATGAATGATACCTCAAATTATGGGGTTTTTAGGGGAGATGTGTGATTTTACTTTTCTATGCAATCTGACTTACAATTTCCCCCTGGTGGTTGATAAAATTAGTGTGAAAAACGTCATCTCACACAGTTTTGCAGAAAGGACTCAAGAATATTCAGAATTCAGATTTGGGATTAACCCTTTGTTAAAATCCTAGTAAGCAACCACCTAAGAACTACAGAGAACAAGTACATGATAAATCATTTTCGGACACAGTTCATAAATTAGGTTGAAAACTACAGTGACCATGAGTGAGCAAAAAACAAAAAAACAGACACATGATTTAATTCCAAAGAAATTTAATCCTTGGAAAGACACATTTGCAATTGAACAGCCTGAAGACAAAACACAGGCAGGAATTGCACTTTACATTTTCTTAAAAAATTAAAAAGCAGGCTTTTTCTTCAATATATTTCTGTCATAGAAACAACTGCAAAACTGTACAACAAGCTTTTTACAAAGCATTTGGGACTTCCGTTTCAGAATGTTCTTTTCACATTTTACACATTCAACAGCCAGGTCTGCTACATTGTGACCGCAAGAAAGTAAAAAAAAAATCAGTCTTAAGACATGTCAGGAGATTTCGCCATTGGCTTAGTAAATAAAAGTCCAACTTTAGTTGTTTTTGCGGGATGTTTTAAGAGCACGAGTCGTGTCTCAGGGAATGCTGGGACAGCAGGCGAGAGGTTTCTGCATCGATATTGGAGTCTACACGGACCTAAACCTCTCCTGTCTGCAGACACAAACAGCTGCTCGCAGGGTCACAGTTCCTCGCGACGGGGCGGATCGTGTGGTTTCCTGGAAAGAATTCAGTCTGTGTCCAAATGACATGGGTTGGTCCCTCGCTGCTGTGCGTCCTGATACACCCTAAGGAAGTCCTTGTACCGTGGAGCGCAACTGAGCCAGGCCTCTCCAAATCGCACCGTCCCAGTAAAGAGGAACTCACCATCCCCTGGTTTAACCCCGCACTGGCTGGGCATCTTCACAAAGCCCGTCCAGCGTTTGGCCCGGCCGCCCCCAGACACAAACACTTGCGTCTTCTGTCTGTATAAGCGACTCAGGGACACGGTAACAGAGGTCTGGTCCTCTTCCTCTGCCACACCAAGAATATTCCCCCGTGCCACTGTAGAGGAGAGAAATAAAACTACATAAGGAACATAGTTGGTGGGATTTTTCCAGATTGATTGCATTACGGGTTATCCCTGGTCAAACAATCCTTAAAGAATGTGTATGGAATTCCCATTAGCACAATAGGGAACCCATTCTAAAGGATCTACATTGGAATTTTCTCTTAACATAGTTTTGTATTATGAAACATTTTTGATTTCCAACATAAAACAAAAACTAGATATTTTAAAAACATGTTCCAAATATGCCCATCATGATACTAACAGCATAAGACACCTCTTTAGGAAATCAACAGGAATAGTAAGTTTTCCAGGATTTTAAAGCAATGCAAGTTTTGATAAAGACATAATGAGGGCTGATATGAGGGAGATATGCATAATTAATGTTATTAAACTAACAAGATGAGTAAAGTTTGTAAAAAAAACTCTAGATAGATAGATGGATGGACGGACGGACGGATAGAGAGACAGATAACAGTATTCATGTAGCTTAAATAGTGCCAGGTGGTCATTAAAAACATTAAACATTTCTTTTAAGATGTGGCCCGTCTTACCAAAGTCACTGGTGCAAACGGCCAGCAGGACCTCCGTATCTGTACAGGGTTGGCAGGGTGCTGTGGAGATACAGAACAACAAAATCAGACTAAACACACCCACTGCTTGATGATAATGCAACAACAAGAAATAACCATCACATGTGCAGAATGTAGCATGTTATTTTTAGAAATCGGTCTAACAAACCAGAACACAGATCTACATCTACACCCGCCACGTGCTCCCAACACACATTGGACCTTCAAAAGACATAATTAATTTCTGCTGCAGATTTATCGAGCGTGCAGAAGCCGACTTTATCGTCACGGCTAGTTGGCTTCTAACCAAACAGAGATGTGGGGCGGCCTGCAAGAAAAGCCTCCTCATTGAAAAAACAAAAACATCTGTAATTAACCACCAGGACGTTCTGTTGTTGGAGAGGAGGGGAACATCTCGACCCTTCCCCCTCTAGAAAAACACTGACAAACACACACAGTGTCCTCACACCCCAACGCAAATTAGATCCAGCTGAGAACAACTCAAACATGGAGCAGCGACTGCAAGGACTAGAAGCTCTGGGTAAAAAAGAGGGGGAGAGAGAGAGAAAGAAACATCCAGAGGAGCCAACACTGCACAGCACTTCCACCTGTGCCAACAACCTAGGGTTGCGTCGAACACTTTGTACTATTTTACAACCCATAGCGACACATGACAAGAGAAAAACACTCCCTCGCTTTCAGGTCGCCGCAGAATCTTGAGACGGCTACAAGGCAATCAGCAAAACCTAAACACTGGCAGCACCGTGTCGGCTTTGATCGGCGTGTTTTCTCTCTCCAAATAAATCAGGCTCCGGGGTCATTACGGCCCCCACGCGCAGATTTAGTCCAGCACGTTTGTCTGGAGGGTCTCAGAGAGCGGCTGGTTGATTCAGGTGGCTGGGTGAAGGGTTTATGGGTGTTTTACAGGTTTATGGGTTACGGTCTGTTGGGTTGGGCAGGTTGTCCACAGCTACCAGACAAAAGTTTAGTTGTCTATTAGTACAGGTAGATTGAAGGGCTTTAGATTTTCAAAACGACATTTTTCCTGAAGTAAATGTGAGTGGTGGTTGGCCAAAACTCAAGGATCTTGTGGGTGGCTCACAGAGCATTGCTATGTGGTTTTTCAAAGTGTTCTGTCTTTTAGTGAATTGCGATGCAAGGATACACTGGTCCCTAGCTGTAAAGTACAACAAAATTGTTATAAAGTGTCGTGTATTGTTATGGAGTATTTACACTATTTACCTTGTTGGCAGAGGCTATCTACGTTAACTCCGCCCACTGACGGAAGACGCTGGATTGCCAACAGTAGCAATAGTGTAGGGGTAAGGCGTGTGGCATAAAGTTTTGACGCAAATCAACCCAAGTTCGAATCTGCCCTTTGCCGAATTCGCTCAACTCCCTTTTCCCATCACATATCAGATCAGAAAGGCATTTATTTTCAATAAAAAGAAGAACATACTCAAAAAGTGGAAATAACGTGTGTTTAATAATCAAGTGTTTACCGGTTAGGGTTAGGTGTAGGGACGGCTTTATTGTCCCAATAAGGCGGCATCCATTTAATAATTTTAATAAATATAGTCATTTACACTCTGTTATCATTGCATACCATTTAATGTACAACAGCACTGAGGCTATTTATATAAATATAAATAGCATAACTACTATTTGCACTTATTGCAAAGGAAATACTCATATTTTTACATCGTGTAAATAGAATCCATCGCTGTTTTCATTTAGTGTAAATAGCACATTGCTAAGAAAATGCTGCTATTTTCACAGTGTAAATGGAATCTATTGCTTTTAAAACCATGTAAATAGCATCTATCGCTAAAAATATGCTATTTTCACTTTGTGTAAATAGACTCTAGTTGCTATTTACACTTAGTGCAAATAGCCACTGCCATATTGTTATGAAGTGGCGTAAAAAATATATAGCGTCTGACACCCACTCTACACTGGAAGTAGCAAATAATAAGAGTGACAAGTGTCCTAAAAAAAAAAAAAAAAAGACATTATAAATGTCTTTTCAGTCACTGGCCCTTCACATACTGTATGAGCAGAGCTGGTCATGTCTGTTGAGGAGCTGTGGGTGAGGAGAGCGGACCAGAGGCCGCACGTTGTTGCAACACGAGGCGCGTCGCATCACCAACAGGGCCAGAGGTCATCCAGGAATCGGCTTCGCAACAGCTGGCAAACGCCAAAGCTTCAAAGCTGGTGATCTTTCAGAACGCTAGGCCTCGCAGAGGTTTTGATGTGAAGCGTTAACTGCTGCCAGCGCTTGCGTCCTGAACGTGAAAGCTGGGCTTGGAGCGCACATGGGCTTTTTCAAAAGCTTTGTGGCGACTCGCATGCAAAAAGTTGAAACGGAACCGCAGGCATCTGAGTCAGCAGCCCTCGCTGCCCCAAATTAATGCAACGCTGCTGGGATCACAACCACTTCACACGCTGGCAGGGTGAAAGGGGGAAGATAGTGTCCCAGCTGCATCTGGCCCCCACCCCTGCATTCCATGCTAATGCAGAAAAGATTCATATGCCACTCTGCCTGCATCCCAACCACTTCAGAGAGGCGGAACGAAAAGTAATGAAGGAAAAAGTGAGAGAGGGGAAGCCAAGGAGACAGGGGAAAAGAGGAAGAGGAAGAGGAAGGGAGTAGGGGGAACAAAAAATGGAGATAATATGTCCTCCCAACAGCTGGTCTAAGACACATTCCACAGTGATGGAAAGCAACTCAATTCCAGCACAGCAGGTCAGCATTCACGAGGTGAACGCAGAGGGGGAAAAAACACACACAAGCTCGGAAAAAGGAAAACGGGTCACCTTACAGATCGGCGAAATCACAAGCAGGCGAACACACAAGCTTGACAATAAAGGACACATTAAACCATGTGTAGAAAAATTTGACTGCCCATTTTCTGGACGTAGTAAACTGTCCAACTCGCAAATGCACTATGGTGCAATAGTGGTATTTATTGACAGTGACAAAGAAGTATAAAATATCCACAAAGTGCAAAGTGTTTAGACTTTGAGGATATTTTCAATGCTTCTTACTTCCTAGTATATTATAATATATACAGGAAAAGGGTTTATAGTAAATTGCATTAATGCCACACAGTCCCAGAATACAGAAACCGTTTAAAGTTACTCTGGTTTTATTGTATCCATGTCTGCAGAAATCGAACTAAATGCTGTTTATCAGAGCACAGATTTACAAGGCATCTATGAACGTGTTACCCTTGAGGGGGAAACGCACTGAAACAGTACTTTAGCTTTGTTTGGGAGAGGAAAAACAGACCAGGTATATGTAGTAAGTAGATAAGTATCTACTTTGCTTTAGGCCGTTCAGTTTCAGCAGGTGCACTGCTTGAAATTAAATGTCTGAAACGAGGCTGAATGTTTAACATGATTTTCCGGAGTAAATGACAGATAGAAGCGACGGGGCGCTCGTGGCGTCTCAGCGTGAGACCTACGCCACAAGTCCTGAATAACACAGTATTTAATCACACGGCAAACAAGGTTCAAATCAGTATCACTTTCCAGTATAAATATGAGCACAGATCTCAGCATCACAGAGGGGTGGATGTTTCCTGAGGTAAAGATATCATCTGTTGCTGGGCATGAAAACATTGGCAACGGATCGTGTACTTTTTAAAATAAACAAACCCTTGGTATTGCGTGCATTAATATACGTGTACCCAAAAACCATGGAGTCACAGAAACTTTTTTGTTGCTGAAAAAAGCAGCAATTGAATAGAATTGCAAAAGAAACTCTTCCAAATTCAGAATTCATTAAAGAACCCAGAAAAATATGCATCATGGTTTCCACAAAAACATTAAGCAGACCAACTGTTTTCAACATTGATGATAAGAAATGTCTCTTGAGCATCAAATCATCATGTTAGAATGATTTCTGAAGGATCATGTGACACTGAAGACTGGAGTAATGATGCTGAAAATTCAGCGGAATAAATTACATTTGGCAAATTATTAAAATAGCTTTACAATTTATTTTGATAGTCCACTTTAGGAAATTCTACCAACTCTAAGTAACAACATGTCAACTAACTCATTAATTTGCAACTTCATGTCAATTAACTCTCATTAGAGTATTAGTAGACTTTTAGCAGACTATTAGGTTAAGGTTTGGGTTCAGGTTAGTAGAATAAGTTGACATGTAGTTGCAAAGTTACTTATAGTCAGTAGAATCTCTAAAGTGGACTATCGAAATAAAGTGTAACCTAAAGAGACCTGTTTTTTTTTTTTTTTCAATTACTGTATTTTTGATCAAATAAAATGCCGCCTTGGTGAGCATGAGAAACTTCTTTCAAAACCACACACAAAAAATCTTTCAGTTCCATCAAAGAATCCAGGAAATCAAAATGGGGCTTTTTAGCTGATGTCTGTTGGCTTTGAGGCCATTTTCTGTTAGATATTTTTTTCCGAATACAACTCCTTTCATTTGACGGAAAAAAAAAACATTTCTGTTTGAGAAAATACTTGACATGAAAGAAAACTGTGCTTGTCAAGGGAGTCTTTAAAGATCAAGAGAACATCATACCAGATAATGACTGTGGATCAGCTCCTGGTCTGTGGTTGACCAGCTCATACTGGAAGGCTGTGATTTTTCGGCTGATGTCCCTTTGAGGCACTGCCTCGATGAAGAGCGCCCCGTCCTGGATGCTGAAACAGTGCACTCTTCGCTCTGCCTGATCTTCCTCATGGAGGAGCAATCGCAGTTTTCCCAGCCGGTCCAGGTAGATGTGGGTCCCGCTGGACTCCGCAGAGGGTTTGATGCAGACGGAGAGAAGAGACGCCGCTGGGGACAATGTGTTTGGCCGCAGGTTGACGATGATGGCCCCTGTGGGGTACAGCCACTCCAGGAAGCCTTGGGCGCAGCGGAGGTACACCTGTTCCACATCCCGCGTGTGTCCCTCATGGGTCAGACCACTACAAGAAGGCAGAGAAAGGAGATATAAGCTCTGATCCAGGATCTACTTTAAATGGCAGAATCCTAAAAAACTCAACCCCAAAAGTAACATAGGCTGCAACCCACAAATAGCAAACCTCAAATGAAGCACATGATGAGAATCTCCAACTCACAACTGATTCCAATAGATTGTGATGTTAACATGAAGCTAACATTCTAATAAGCATAAAAATACACAGCTCACACAAAATAAATCAGGTGATGGCCAATGTAATGCCAATTGACATGATAAAACACAATTTAATGAGGCAAATAAAATTGGATTCGATTAACCGATTAAAAACAGAATATTGCAGATAGTGGTTAACAGATTTGAACAGGTTTTTTGTGGGCGATGGTCGATAAAGCCAATAAATAAGATCTCACCATTTAATTTAAAGATAATAAATAACACAAGCATAACAATTGCTGCCATTAAATCTATATTTATTTACATAATATTTACTGAAATAATTGGAAATCAATCCGTTTAAAATGAAATTTATATTCTAATTTATAAAAAAAAAAATCTGATTTATACTTAAAGTCCCCCTGTGGTGAAAATCAAGACAAACCATATGTAAACTCATGTCAACTCCAATGCTGAGTATTTTCTCCTTAAAACTGCAGTGAAATTGCTGGTGTTTCTGACTACCTTGTAACCAATCAGGTCAACGTGTGATCGTCAACGAGTGGATCTCTGAGATGGTGTGAGTGAGTGGAGGCGGGGCTAATTTGCATATTCATAAAACCGCATATACTAAATGAAGTAAAGCTGTAGAGTTACATTCAAGCTATTTTTAGACGTGACAGTAAACAATATGTAATTTTGGTGATCAAAGATTAGTTTTAAGGGATACAATTTACAGGGAACTTTAAGATAGAATCAAGAAGTTTTCAAAAAGTGTTTCTCTGTCTATTTTCTAAGCACTTACTATATATATTATTATCGACAATTCATTCGTGACTTCGTAATGCTTAATCAAAATAACATAACTTAACGTAACATAAAACGTCTGGTGACATACGCAGGACTTCTCCAATCACTGAAACAACCACATCTCAAATTCCAATCAACAACCGATTAATAGAAACAAGTCCCCGCCTAACATTTTTTCTTTTTCGATAATCTGTTAAACTCAGATGCCACAATTCACAAGAAAAGATCGGACACTTCTTCTGTTTCATTGCAAGTTTAAAACAAAGAATAAAAAAAAAATAAACACTGAAACCAGTGCACTGATAGATCTGTGCGATCTGTTCTGGCAAAGCTCATTTAACATACAGTACACAGTGAATATGATAGTTCTCAGTACTGTCAAAATAAAAGTCCCACTTATGACCAAACAAAAAGCCAAATATTGGCCAATACAATGTATCAGCCAAGGCAATATATTGGTCGCCCACTAGAGAAGATAAACTCAAAATATGGGCCAACATATTGGTCTATCAATGGAAAAAAGTATATTTTTAATCAAAACAATTCAGTACTGCCTGAAAGTAAAAAAAAAAAATCATGTTCAAATGTAGAAAAATCAAGTTTTTAAAGTAACACCAGGGAACTTTTGCTCTCGGGGTGGGGTCCCCCTACAGTTGGGAAACAGTATTGTCCTCTAGACCTCTACTACTGTCGTAAACTCTGTCATCCTACATGCACGTGCAATTGTTGACAACCACGATAGCCTTGAACACTGTAGGAGGAGGTCACATGCAGGTGTTCTGTTTGCGTCGCGTGTGAAATGTCTTCATCCCAGGTACAGTGGCATATATTTCAGCATGTCATATGAATATAATTTCATGGGTTTTATTTTTTTTCTAACGACAAATGATCGCGATGATCACGTTTACAAGCCAGCGTCATTGGTTACCATTTTACTGAATCTATATGATACTTCAATGCAATGTTTGAGTGGTTGATAATAACCATATATCGTCAATATTATAATATCAAGCTACCATAAATGAATCTGCAAATTTTACAAATCGATTGGCATTATAGCTTGAGGCAAGACAAATAAACAAATTTCACAGACATGTTAGGTATCCTAAAATATGATTTTGTACATCTTATATATTTACTTGCAAGAATGTAGCCCCTACCAAACTTGTGCACGCTGTTTAGACAAAGGCTTTTATTTGATTTGATTTTTTTTGCCAAGTCCGCATCGGTCGGGCACCCCTCCTCCTCCAGCTCACGCCAGCGAGAAAATGCTGGCCCAATGTTGATCCTCGTTCTGCCTTTAACGCGATCATTTTCTCTTTTTCTCTTTTTGCTTTGCTCCGATAAAACCTTTGCTTTCTTGTTTTTCTGTGCTGCTTCGGCCATGACTATAACATTTGGCTCGCACGTCCGACTTTAAGGAAGTGGGGGTGGTGGTGGAAGTGACGTATATGCCGTAAAGCAGTCGAATTTTGTAGTTCTCTTTGTTCGCCGGTTACTACCCGAAACCCGAAGTTTAAAAGTACGATTAAAAACGCTACAGACCCCGTCAGGCTATGGCAGACGTGTCATTCAACCTATTGTAAGTCGATGTACCATCACAAGAGACTTGGAAATATATTATGAAGGTTGAAAAGTAACCTAGTGCTACTCTCTTAAAAACGCGGTTTGAAATCACTGGTTTCTGACGACACAAACTACCTTGTAACCAATCAAGTCAACCAATGTGGCGGGCCTAATTTGCATATTCATAGAACGCATATACTAAATGAGGCAAGGGTGTAGTTACATTAAAGCTATTTTAAGGCATGAACTTTTTTTTTTCAAGGAAATATGTTTAAATATGTAATTTTGGTGATCAAAGATGAGTTTTAAGGGATAAAATTATCGACTACAGGGGGACTTTAAATACAATCTTATAATTAAAAACAAATTCAGGTCTCTTTCGACTTCATGAAGGTATTATGTTCACTAAGCGCATTCATTCTGATATTATACATGAATTCTGCCAAAACAAATGATTTCAGAAGGCAGCCTTAATTCTGCTGGCTACTGTCTGGAAGCAATCATATGTTGCCTTAAAATACTGGAAGGGAAATGGGAGTTCACTAAGTTTTGGAACAGGTCAGTCGTCAAACATCATTGTGAAGTATTAGGCTACTTATCTAATTCTGACATTGGAGTTAAAGCTGGTAAATTTTAACAAACAACTACGTAGATTAAACAAAGCAAACCAGCCTGGTTTGAAGCAAATGGTGGCATCTCACACCAGGGTAATCCCCTAAATAAGGATGGTTGGATCTTCTATCAGGGGCCTTTAACGTAAAACACAGCAAAGGAAACTTCAAACATTAGGGCGATTGTTCTGAAAAGTCTGCGCCAGAGTCGAGTCCAAAGCTGAAGCTCGTATGAAAGGAAAGCTTTTCTCCGAGCAGGAAGAATGAAGTTAATGTCTTTTCACACAAGGTGTTAAGACCCACGCGCAAGGCTTGCTGCATGACCCGTCACGTGCAGGCATGCGCACACACATACACATTAACCGTCTCTCATTTTTCTTCTCTCCTTTCCAACGCTTTGGCAAGATCCAACACTGGGCATACTGCCGTGGGTAGGATTTTTGAAGCGCAAGTCAATGGCTCCTAGGACACACAGGCCTCTCCGCAGACAAGTGCAGAGACAGTAGCCGAACCCGGAGCATGCAAGTGCAAATGCAGGTCACGCAGTTGAACCTCCCCTCGCTTTCAACTCCTCAAAACGACGAGGATCTGCATGTCCGGGCAGCAGTCCTGCCGCTGTCCAACGGCCACACAAAAAGACTCTCTCCTCTACTTTTAGACATCATCTGCGGTTCTGCGCCTCGAGTCTGTGGCCTGATGTCAGTTAGGCAGAAAATGAGCCATCTGCTTCCGAACCCTCCAGCGGTTCTACAATCAGAGATGAATTTAGGGCCTGCTGCAGCAGACCCCAGATTAAACTCTCACCAAAATGAGAGGTGAGGACCCAAAACTCATGTGGAGCCTGGGGTGAAACATGTGCGGGGCAGACTCACAAGCTGCCGTGTCCTCATTTATAACGGCTCCTCTTTAATTAAGAGCGTTTGAAATGCAGCCCCGCCGTAATGAGAGGCTGAACTAAGACCTGGCGAATCAACAGCAGATTATGCTGCACAGTCAGAGTACAGCACACTCAGCCTTTTTACTGTAAAAAGACTTCACAGAGAGCCGACATATGTTATGTTTAAGGAATTCGTTTTTAAGGAAGAGAGCTATTGTTGAGGAATAACAAAGCATTGTTATGAGATGAAGTTATGTGGCAGAGAAAATCTATAGCATGAACTAAGATTTATCGTCGACACAGGCGATCAAAACAAATTTCACATTTAACTGCACATTTACATTTAAAAGCCAAGATGACCAAATAAGATTATATTAAAATAAAAGCTTCTCAGTTTTCTAGAAAATGTCATAGCCGGTGTGAGTGTGTATAGGCAATTAGTTTATTAACTCAAGACAAGTTCATCTGTCTAAACAAACAAAGAACAGAGTGATTTGCATATTATGAGAGATTAATCTGGGTTAGGTCAAACCAGTGAGCAGAAATGAATCACTGATCAGATTCTGCTTTCAGGTTATGCCAGTGAGGTTCAACATAGAGCAGGAGAGAATAACAAGACTAAAAAAGTTGCTGCTTTACATTTTTAAGTACAATCAACTTGGATGTTTAAGTAATTTCAACTTTAATTGCATTAAACTGACTTAAAAAATGAGTTGAATCTTGATTAACTCAACAAAAAAAAACAACTTATTTTGATCATTTGAGTTAAAGCAATGTAAAAACATATGTGGTCAGACTCATAACTTATTGATCATATAATTTTTTACAGTGTAAATCTAAACTATCCAGACCAAGAGAACAGTTTATGAGTTGAAAAAATAAGAATATAATGATAAAATGTTAATTAATACATATGCTACAACCACTACCACTCATAACAATATCACTCCAACAAATAATGGGCCTGATAAAAAAAAAAAAAAAATTACTCAACTCATAAACATACCTTTACTAGCCTATTAATGATAGACTACCACTACTACTGCTCATACTGAGACTTCCCATACTGTAATAATATTAATCATGATTTAATGTTAATATTCTACTTGTTTTAGTATCAAAATCGCTCACGTTTTAATTTTAAACAGCTCAACAACAACATTGATTGACATCTACAAATTCAATCTTGGATTTTAAAGAGTTAAAACTACTACTGCAATTTACTAATTTGAAATTAATTTTACATTAGCAAACGAGTAATAAAGGCGCACTTGTATAATACTAAGTGAATGTTTAAAGCGTGTCTCACCTGCCCCTCCAGCTGCACTGGTCGCTTGAGTACTGGGAGCGCGCAATCCTACACAGAAACACAAGCGACAGAAAATACGCCAAGAACGGCGAGAGCATGTTTGTCCCACCGCTGTCTACTTCTCCTCCAGCGCGATACTATACAACTCTGCTTTGCGGCTAGGAAATTTAACAGTCCAGCGTCGGTATTTGCACTACATCGTGTTTTTCTTCAGTATCGTTTTACTTTCTCACCAGTGATTTACTCAAGAAGAGCAACTAAAGCCGACAGTCCGAGAAGCGCGCTCGCTCGCTCACTCATGTCGCGCGCAGTGAGTACTTGAGTGAACTGAAGACGGCGTTGAGGAATCCGAGCAGTCAGAGACGCTCACTGAACTTTGAAGAACGCGCATGCGCAGTCATCAGCAGCGCTCTACTCCACTGGAGGCGCGTTCCTCACGAGTTCAATGAGTGGCTCTGCTCGGATTCCTCTGCGCGTCACCGCCAGCTGACTGACACAGGAGGGACGCATACGCAGAAGTACTTCGAGACGCTATAATTTTTCTGGCTCATTTGTTCATTAAAGGCATTGCGTATAACACCCTAACAAAGAATTGGAGATATTATTTATTTCTAAATCAAAGCAAACATACATTGGGGTCCAAACGTCTGCGAGACTATTTGCTTGTCACCACGAAATCAAAATGGACTGCTTTTTTTTCGTTATGGAATATTGAAGTATTTATTATAAATTTTTTATCCGTGCACATCATTATTTTTTGTTTATTCATGTGCCCTCATAATCTTTAATCAAAATAACTTCCCCTCCTTGCAAGCAAAATCATTTTTTTCTTCTCTGGATAAACAGACATAAAAAACTGCACAGACATGAAGTAGCAATATCTAGGGACCCAAATATCAGAGACTTGGAGGTGGGCTCTTTTGACTTGGGTCAGTTACACTCAAAACACACTAGCATATTGGCAACAACCTTTCTACATGTAAGCACCACTCTTTTTTCCCCCTCAGAAAACATAAGAATCTAGTTTTTCACATGAAATGTGATATTCTATTCTTTCATCTTCATCAAGTTTGATCAAGAAACCCGTTAGGCAGGAGAGACTAGGTGTCAGAGACAATTATTTAACACTGGTTTCAGGACACAATGTGATTAAGAGATGTTTGTGACCGTACTTGTTTTGATACAGGCGCACTGCTGGCCTGCCGCTGTCTCTCAGGATAATGCCACAACTCCTCCTTAAACGAGAATAACGTGCATGTCAGGACAAGCGAACCACAACTCAAAGACACCTGCAGATGTGTTCCCATATTATTCCCTCTCTGTGTTTGTCTTTTAGGAGACCACAAGCAGAACAGAGCTTCTATAGCAGAGCATATGCATATGTAAACAGTTAATACAGTTCATCTTAGGTTTCAGAATCCCCAGAGTACCTCAAAACAACCCACATTTCTGATATCGGATTGCTAGAATGGATTCTGTTTAGTGTGCGAGGACCTCAGACTCATTCTCTGTTTTGGCTGACTGTGCCCCTCTGTGTTTACTTAAAAGAGGGGAAAAAATCTAAATGAAAATTCTGTCATTGTTTATTCAATCTCATGTCATTCTAAACTCGAATGCTCTTGTTTTTTTTTCTCTCTTCATGGAACACAAAGGGAGACTTTTTGAAGACTCTTCATGCAGCTATTTCCATACCAGTTCTAAAGATTCAAATCAGTGAATAAAACTAAAACTAATTACTATTAAAAATTAGAGCTGTCAAATCGATTAACATAAAAGTTTGTATTATATTATATATTATAAAATAATTCACTTAAGATGAAACTTAAATGAAAATTGGAAGCTATAGCTGAAGTACTACATTACCAAACTGAAAAAAGTTAAAGATAAATTGAAATATTAAAAATAAAAAAATATTAAACAAATACTACAAAAGTATATAATATAATAACACTGTTTCGAAAAGTATAGAAAACACTATAAAAGTATAAATTACTTTAAAAAAAATCCTCATCTACATCTCTGTGGAACACAAATGATGTTCTAAAGAATATTTAAACTTTTTTAACCATTAACAAAAATCAATAAAGGCCAAAAGCCCCAAAAAATAACAGAGGTAGCATGAAATGAATTAATGTGACTCACCTGATATATTCTAAACTCTAGGTGTGACATGATCACTTAATATAATAAACAGATTAAAATGTAAGCCTTTATTCACTCTCAAAGCAAAACACTAATCACAGACCACATCAAATATCGAAACATGAACGTTCAGTGCAAGAACCAATAAGGCCATTAAATTATGTTTGAGGTTCATACCAACCCACCAACCAAACCACCAACCAAACCACCAACCCACCTACCAACCCACCTACCAACCCACCAACCAAACCACCAACCAAACCACCAACCCACCTACCAACCCACCAACCAACCAACCCAACAACCAACCCACCAACCAACCAACCAACCCACCCACCAACCAACCCAACAACCAACCAACCCAACAACCAACCCACCAACCCACCAACCAACCCACCCACCAACCCACCAACCAACCAACCAACCAACCAACCCATTCAGTCTCCTGTTGTGTTCCACAGAAGAAAATAAATCATAATTGTTTGAAATGATAAGTAAATAATAACTGAATTTTCATTTTTGGGTGAACTTTCCCTTCAAATGCTTTCTTCTTTCGAGGGAGAGGATTTTGAGGAACACAATGCCAGCCTAAATGAAGGTCACGCTTTATTTCGATGGTCCACTTTATACACTTTATATACGAAGGTTTGGGTTCGGGTAAGTAAGTTGACGTAGTTATAAAGTCACTTATAATCAGTAGAAGGTCTGTTGGGAAGCATCAAAACAAAGTCTTAGCAGTCTACTTATACTCTAATGAGAGTTAGTTGACATGTAGTTGCAAAGTTACTTTTAATGTCTAAAGTGGACCATCAAATCCACCTGAAAAACACAAGAACCAGTTCAAACAGGAGATTCATAAGGAAAGAGCTAGATTTTTGGGCAGACTGTTTTTGGTTTCTGTTATTGCCTAATTGCATGCAGGGATTGAGTCACTCAGCTGTTGCACATCCAGTTTCTGAGCTGAAAAACAAACGCAAAGTGGAGTTAACTGCGGTCAAGGTGTGTATGTGTGTGTGTGTGTGTGTGCAGGAACAAGGAAACCAGTGTATTAAGGAGAACTATGCGTTGTTGTATGACATCATAACTCTGATTCACTTCTCCAAGTTACGAGAATTTTTTTTTCTCACTTTGTAAATTGAGAACCGGAGATAAAAATACCAAAACAGTGAGGCAGGAAATGAACCAACCAGCTGTCCTGCTCAAGTGCGTTGCTCAGGGAAGATGTAGGGCAGGCAGTGCTGTTTCACAATGCCAGAAATCACAGCAAATGTCAACCAGACAAGTGTGTTTGATAAAATGCTGCTATGAGCTCTGAGAGAAGTCCACTTATAAGCAGGGACTGAAGCAATCAATACTTGTCATAAATCTGGCACTTGTGCAGTATGTATAAACCAGATACCTTGGATGCTTCAGAATGTTTTGAAAACATCTGTTTATCTCTCTGATATGAAATGAAATGAAAGATAACGTGTATTTAATCTCATTGGCTGAGTGCAGTACTGTTCGACCTGAAGTGTAATGCAATGCTGTCAATCATCACTGTTGTTCTTGCTCCTGGTAAAACTGCCACCCATTCAGACATGTTCAGAATTAACGTAAGTGCCAGGACTCAAGTAATAGATCATCCAAAAATGATAATCTGTCGATATCTACTAACGCTCATGCCAAAACCTGTATGACTTACTTTCTTCTGTGGAACACAAAATGAGATGTTTTGAAGGCTTGTATTGGTCACTCTTGTCCATAATTACAGTCCCTTGGAAAGTAAAAAGAAGTGCACTTATTTCTTAATTCGGTCATCCATTATTCGCCTTCATGTTGTTCTAAATCCATAAGTCTTTTGTCGAATTTCCATCTTCACAAGTGAAGATATACAGTATTTAATTAAATCGGAGAGATTTCTGTTCCTCTATTGAAAATATATTCTCTCATAATTCTCATGCTTCAAAATGTTCATAAAGAGATCATAAAAGAAATACATATGAATCAAGCGGTTTAGTCCAAGTCTTCTGAAGAGACACGGTCACTTTGTATGATGAACAGATTTAATTCAGGCTTTTATTCACATACAAATATCAGCGAACGTACAGTATATAGCATCCAAATTTGGTCATGGAAGCTAAAGCATGCTTGACGCGAGACCACAAGAACCAATGAGGTTCATTCTTGTGTTACGCAGCACATTTGAGCTTCCGCAAGAACCAATGAGCTTCATTCTTGTGTTAAGCAACACATCTGAGCTTCAGCAAGAACTAATGAGGTTCATTCTCGTGTGTTACGCAGCATGGTTGAGCTTCTGCAAGAACCAAAAGGTTTGTTCTTGTGTGTTACGAAAGCACGTTTGAGCTTCCACAGGAGCCAATGAGATTCAAACTCTAGCGCGTCAAGCTAGTACAGTTGAGCTTCTGTCTATGCACGCTAATCAATGTTTATATGAGAAGACTAAAATTCTTGTTTTGGGTTCCAATGAAAAAAGAAGTCATATGGGATTGGAACAACACGAGGATGAGTAAATAATAAAGGGATGTTAATCTTGGATTATCCTATAAATAATGAAAGTAACCGCTACGTTTCTATGGATACGGCACATTGTAAGCACCTAGGATGACATTTTGCATGCGAATGTGTGCACTGTGTATTACTCAGCCTGCTGCGCTGTATCAGCCCTGTTAATGCATTCAAGCTGTGCGTCAGTCAGCCATCAGCGAGATCATACCTCACTCCCACTCCTTTCCATAAATCTCCACCATCCCTCACCCCAAAACCCTCTCCAGAAGAATTATCTGTCAAAGAAATACTCACCCTAACAGGTGAAGCTTATTGCTTTTTGAATGCCGATGCCACGGTAGATACTCTCATTATGGTTTAGCAAAGTTTAATAGCCAAAATATGAAATTAAGTGTAGCCTGTGCCATCAGTCATCTGATTTTAAAGATTATGACTAAGTTCCAGGTAACAATTATTCAGTTTGTACCAGATCATTTGTGTTTTTTGAGAAGGAACACTATATTAGTAACAGCTGGGTGTGGGCGGGAGCTTCACTAATGGCTGTTGTCATAGAGATTGCATTAGTAATCTGTGTTTGACTCATCATCTTTAGGAGGGGCTCTTCCTCTTTTCAGATCAGAATGCTGGATAGACTTTGATACGGCCCCTGTGGTGAAGAAGCGGCCTCCTCTTGGCCGGCATTCCAACCCTGGTGTAGGA